GTGTGGGCCTCTATGAATACATATAATATAGCCATAGGAAGGGGCAGTGCGCACTTTAAAGGCTGTGTGTGTGTGTGTGCTCACTGCTCTACAAAAAAGTCAAATCAAACGCCAAATCTCTTCTCTCATGGAAATTTTTGGCGGTTGCTATGTGTTTATTTAATCTAACCTAATTAATGAGTATGCAATGCACTTGAGGATTTCAACTCAATTATTCCTGATTGTGCGTGTGTGTGTGTATTGAGCTTATAGAGTTTCAACTATGGTACATGTCATGAAAAAGCATGATATGTACGTAATCGCAAGAGGGAGCACAAGGATGGTTGGAAAGAAAAGAAGAATCAAGATAAACAACGGCCGTGCTTATTTGATAGATCTCCATTACGTAAAATTTTTTTATCTAGATATGGATGGAAAGCAATGTTCATCATTCATGGGGCTGTTGTTTTATTCTTCTTACTTCAGATTATTCTCAATCACATATTTATCACGTTAAAGGTCACTTGGTAAAACATAGTGTTTTTATTCTTGTGCGTGCCAAATATAAAATTTTTTCCCTATTACATAAAAACCTTGATATAAGGCTGCTAACATGGTTTTGTTCGAAGAAAGTGGCTTCTCTTCACTTAGTGGAGAGACCACTATCACCGTACATCGTTAGATTGAATTTAATGAGATGATTTCTAAAGTATTACTTCCGGTCCTTAATATAAGATTTCGTTTAATTTTGATTTTAATCATAAATATAAGATCCTAATCCACTTTGTCTCTCATATTTATCTATTTTTTTAAGGTAGTCCTTGTAATAATGGTAATTCTAACCAATACATTTAATTAATAAGGATGTTTTAGAAAAAAACAATATTTATTTATTACAAATAACTAACATAACTAATTTTCTTAATTTGCTCAAATTAGTCAACTAGCTCTTATATTAAGGACCAAAAATAGTACATATGGATTAATGTGTATTATTAAAAAAAAATTTTGGTTGCCTACCCAATTCACCGGAGGTTTGCTCTGACTACATTTGGATCCGACCTGTATCATGCACCTGGCTATGGTGGGTGAGCCTCCCAATGGGGATTTCTGCATACGCTGAGGCTCGAACTTGAGACCTCGCTTAATGGTGCCAAGCCGCTTATCACTAGGACTAACCGTGTTGGTTGTATCATTAAAATTTGATTTAAATGACCTGAAGTTACAGTGGAACGAAACCAAGTGCGGACGCCAACCCCCCGAGTTCCGTTTTTTGACGTTTTCTTCTTCCTCGGTCATTGTCTGGTGGAACTCAATAGAGAACACATGTATGGGCTCAGATTCTTCTCTGTCATTTTGGGCCTCCCCTATCTAAATGCGAGGCCTCTTACTCCCACTCTACGCCTTCAAGTGGTTTCCTTGAATCAAAAAGGATCATTAGCTTGGGGCCGACTATGATGTTCCATTGATGAGCCCTCGTTTGGGCTCCGATTACTCTTCAGTTATCTTTCGGCCCAAGTTCATTTCATATCACCACTTGATAAATCCAATGAATTATAAAAAGGGAAAATTACTGTAGAGTCCCACAGAAGAGAATTTACTACTGAAAGGTCCCATGAAATCATAAAATGTATATGAGGTCCCAAGGGACTTTATGGCAAAAAATTTCAAACGTGCAATTATTTTCTTGCCCTTCTGATTAAAGAAAGAAACTGAAGCACACGATTGAGAGAAAAACTCCTATCGGTTGTCATCTTCATGAAATCCGCCGCCGTCTCGTTCGTGTCCATCCTTGTGTGCTCCGACAGCTTCAATCTCCGGCGAGGTCTGTCAGTGTCTGCTTAGTACATTGTCGCTCGCTGCTCCGCGCTCCGTCGGTCTATGGTCCGCACTCAATTGGTCTCTAGTTGGACGCCTCCAATCTCGTGCACGGTCTGTCGGTCGCTGGTTTGCACCCCACTACCAGCGAGCCTCGTGGGTTCCATCATCGATGACCTTCGCACCCCACCGCCGGCGAGCCTCTCTCTCTTGGTATATCATAGTGATATTATCTATTACTGGTATATTTAGGTGAGGCGCTTCTCAGTTTCAGAGCAACAGTTGGCTATTGTGTAAGTTGTATTATTTAAATTTCAAAGTAATGTTGGCTATTGTCAATTGTTGTGCATAAGTTGTTATTACAGTGATCGAAGGTTGTCATTAACGACCCCATGACCTGTCCTGTTATGTAGGATGGAAGACTTGTTCGAAGGTTCAGATGCATTGTCCATATCTCCATCCAATGTGTTTAGTGAAGACCCACTATCATTGCCATGTGGTTCAGAAGTGATGTCAACCCCAATTTCGGAAAGGAATTCAACAAAGTGAAAGGGTCTGGTTATTGGAGAAGGATAAATTTTTCCTAATGTAGTAGCCCTTAGACAAGCACTATATAGGTACAGCATTGCTGATAAGTTTTCATACAAATTTGTTTGGCCCATTGCGAAGGTTGTTAGCCACTTCTCTTCGGGTTGTCAACACCCACTGTTGAGGTTGTAAATGAATTGCTGTAGTAAAAATCTACTGTAATCCTATTGGGTTCAATTAAAGCTGTTAATAACTTTAAAATGCTCTTAATTTTTTTTAAGGTCGTTATATATGCTGATAATACAATCTATTTAGAAGCTGTGGCATCCCACAGAGTGATTTGTCAGGGACACTACCCAGGTTGTTAACCACTTGTCTTCGGGTTGTCAACAATCCCCGTTGAGGTTGTAAATGGATGTGGCAGAGATGATTGTAATATATGCCTATCATGTCATCATGGTTACCATTTGTTTATCCAGTTTTATTTAGTCTGCATTTGTGGACATGATCCGTGTATGGAACGAAGAATTTCCTGTTTTGTCAAAACACATGAATGTCATTACAAAAACTTCATAATCAGTAAATGATGTCAATACACATTAACATATCTTAACATCTAGCTATCACTACATGGTCAAATAAAGAAACAAAATCTGAACTTTACATTCAGCTGTCAAATAAAAAAAACTAAATACAATCTATGCTCATCGTTTATTTCTTCTTCTTGCTTTGGGAGTTTTCTCGTAGCAAAGACAGCACTTGATCACCATGTAGGTTGTTCTGATAAGTTACAAGCCACCACAAGCATCCAACCTTCAAGTAATGGATTTCTTGAGGGGATTACAAGCATCCAACATGCACAGCATACAGTCACAACCTACACATCAGACAATCACAACCTACATTTGTGCCATTCACAACATACACAGCAGCCAATGACAATCCATGCTAAACCGAATGACAACAAGAACAGCAGAAAATTACAACCTATACATAAGCAAGCGACAAACTAACAGAGGCTAATGACAACCTACACACAAGACAATAACAACCTTCACACCAACCAATCACAACATACAAATAAGCAGTTGACAGCGTACATACTAGTGAATGACAACATAGAGTAGTAAATGACAACATACAGGATAGTAAATGACAACATATAGAGCAACCAATTACAACATATAAAGAATAGTATATTCCCACTGAGGGAGTTACTTGATATAACCCTAGAAAATACAGGAATATGATGAATGAATGAGATTTGTCCATCCTTATAACAACATAAATTGGATGAAATGAACCAGAAACTACATTAAAATACTGCACTCACGAACTTTGAGCTGTGATAGGTTTCCTAGTTCATTTGGAATCGCTCCACTTAGGTAATTGCAACTTATGCACAACAATTGACAATAACTAACATTACTTCAAAATTTAAATAATACAACTTACAGAAATCTTCCATCCTACATAACAGGACAGGTCATGGGGTCGTTAATGACAACCTTCGATCACTGTAATAACAACTTATGCACAACAATTGACAATAGCCAACATTACTTCAAAATTTAAATTATACAACTTACACAAGTCTTCCATCCTACATAACAGGACAGGTCATGGGGTCGTTAATGACAACCTTCGATCACTGTAATAACAACTTATGCACAACAATTGACAATAGCCAACATTACTTCGAAATTTAAATAATACAACTTACACAAGTCTTCCATCCTACATAACAGGACAGGTCATGGGGTCGTTAATGACAACCTTCGATCACTGTAATAACAACTTATGCACAACAATTGACAATAGCCAACATTACTTCGAAATTTAAATAATACAACTTACACAATAGCCAACTGTTGCTCTGAAACTGAGAAGCGCCTCACCTAAATATACCAGTAATAGATAATATCAATATGATATACCAAGAGAGAGAGGCTCGCCGGCGGTAGGGTGCGAAGGTCATCGATGATGGAACCCACGAGGCTCGCTAGTAGTGGGGTGCGAACCAGCGACCGACGGACCGTGCACGAGATTGGAGGCGTCCAACTAGAGACCAATTGAGTGCGGACCATAGACCGACGGAGCGCGGAGCAGCGAGCGACAATGTACTGAGCAGACACTGACAGACCTCGCCGGAGATTGAAGCTGTCGGAGCACACAAGGATGGACACGAATGAGACGGTGGCGGATTTCATGAAGATGACAACTGATAGGAGTTTTTCTCTCAATCGTGTGCTTCAGTTTCTTTCTTTAATCAGAAGGGCAAGAAAGTAATTGCACGTTTGAAATTTTTTGCTATAAAGTCCCTTGGGACCTCATATACATTTCATGATTTCATGGGACCTTTCAATAGTAAATTCTCTTCTGTGGGACTCTACAGTAATTTTCCCTTTTAAAAATCAATCCTCCAGTCATTTTCACAACAGACCTCACCAATTTTTAAAAGCATTAACTACTTGTTTTCCCTAAGCACCCTTCATTATAGAGAGAGATACACACTATACTAATTTATGAACATTATGAATGGTATTTTTGACAAGTGATCTAAAATATGAATATATGGAATAGGAGTAACCCATTTTCTTAATCTGTGTGACCAATGTTAGAGCAGGAAGAAGCGAGCTCATAAGGGAACATTGATGGGCATAGTAGTACGACGAGCGACATCATAAGCTTACGTAGGTAGTGAGATACGTATGTTGTTCACAATTTTCTGAGAAGGAGGACGTAGTTGATGGGGTTGATGGCCTGTTGAGCCATTTCCTGGTCGACGAGGGAGGCATAGGTGTCGAAGAGGCTGTCTAAAATGGAAGGTCCGAAGTGAGCGGAAATCATGGACTGTTGGATAGCCCTAATGGCTTTGGCCAGTATGCTTCCATAAGAGGCCTTCCCCACCCCGCTCGTCTCTATTTCTGATATCTCCATCCTCTCCAACTCAAACGACCCTTCTTTCCTCACTTCTTCTTCTATCTCCTCCCCACATGCTGCGTAGAAATGCACATCATACCAATCCACCTTCTCCTCTTCTACTTCTCCCTGCTCAACCAAACAATTAATTAATTATTCAAACCCATGTGATCAGTTCTGCAATTATATTTCTCTCAGCCCATCTACCTAAGTTACGAGAATTTTATAGGTCTCGCTTGAGAAAATACGACACAAAAGAAAAGTCATTTGGAAAGCTTAATTAGGAAGATTTTGATTACAAGTTTGACGCATGAAATGATTCTGCTTCAATACCTACTCTGTCTCATATTGATTGCCATTTTCTTATAAATCGACCCTTTGCACATTTTCGTATAAATTAAATGTCACAATCAAATCACTTAAGTATCACTTATCTTTGACAACAATTCAGTTTTATTTTTTAATTTTCAAACAAAATAAAAATGATTACAACTTTGATTAATTAAATGAATTTTTTGAACAGTGATGGTTTGTATGATTTTGATTGATAGCTTCTCATAAATGGACCATTCTCACGTTACTTTTTGTTATCCTAAAAAGTCAAGTCACCAGATTACCCCGGAAGGGATAATCTACCATAGTAATATTGGAAAGTTACAATCAAATGATGCAAGTATTCTAACCAAACAAAAAAATTTATACGTGAGTATAGTCAAGGTACTAACTAATGCTTTTTTATTCATGCCCAAAAAAAAAATATTGTGCTTTATGAAAATTGTTCTATAACTTTTTATTCAAGATGTTCTATATTTTTCGTTTTCAAAATTGCATGTGAAAATATTATTTTACATTCAAAGTTACTTGAGGGGGATTAATAAATCTCCATTAAACATAATATTCTTGTAGGAGCTAGTTAGAAAGTCAGTTTTGATTATAAATATAAGACTTTAATCTATCTTACCTATCATATTTATCATTTTTTAAACTAATTTATTTAATTTATAAATTGATATATAATCAAATATTATATGGGGATATTTTAGAGAGTTCCTGTTGTATTTGTTAGAATTAAATAATTTATCTAGCTTTCTTAATTAAGTAGCTTTTCTGGCAAAGTATATGAAGTGGAAGATCCTGAATTTTCCATCATACGGTAGTTACTTATTTCTTCATTTTGCGTTTTAGGCTTAGCCTTAGGATCTGATAACTCGTAGGGGGGATGACTGCTATATTATAAGCCTATAATTGAACTTGAGGCGAAATGAAACGAAAGGGAAGGAGACGTCACACACACACAGCAGCCTAACATAGTTTAGAATGCTAGAAGAGTGCTAAAGGCATCAATAATATAAGCAGTAGTCCTACCTCGGAGACCAAAACGGAGAACGAACGCCTGAGGATTTCCCACAACAAAGAGTTTCCTCGGTCAACATGTTCAGGTCCTCTTCTTCCCAGAAGGATGAGCACCATTCTTCCCCCAACCACCAGTTCCTCAGATCTTGATCTCAGGAACAACCCAAAGTCCTCCTGGAATTGCTTGTAGTACGCTTCAGCCACCACCGGAGGACTCTTTTCTGTAATGTAAATGCTTCCCTTGTTCACTGGTCTCCCCTGCTCGTCATAAAGCCCTGCAGGAACCTGCACATTCAACTATGTTTATTTAACCTTCACATAGAGATATGGTACGAGAGTTTGTAACAATGAGAGCTTAATCACCCTGGAAAGCCAGTGTAAACAGTGGGAGGAGTGGACAAAGTGCAAGCTCGTGCTGGGGAAAAGTCTTCCATAGAAGGAACCAGGGTAAGCTCCTATGAGAACGAGAGGATCAAACTCAATAATGTTGTTTCTGTGTTCCTCGAGTGACCTGTGGAAGTCAGGGAGGGCCTTGAAGATTGAGTTGAAATCATTTGTAGGAAGATCATTGAGGTAAACCCTGAGCTCAGAAAGTGCAGGCTGTGGAATGTTGTGGTGTATGATGATGCCTTGGATGGCTACGAAGATGTCTTTGATGAATGAAAGGGTGTTGGGTCCTGAGGAGCAGCCCAAGTCAGCGATTCTGAAGCTGTCAGGAGTGCTTCTTGCAAGGTAAACACTTTCAACTGCATCCATGATGATGTGCTTCACCTTATCGGATGCCTTCTTCTGTCAAACTTCAAAGTGAGAGTTTGTTTGAGGAATGAAAACTACAACAAGAGAGAAGCGAAGAAATAAGAGAACCTGAAGTGAGGAGTTTTTGGCGTAGCTAGTGCTGCCACTTCCTCCAGTCATGCAGAACACTTTTTGTGGATCCATATACTGTTGCTGCTAGCTGTTTGTATTCAATGAAGAGTGGTCTGATTTCAATGATTCAGCCTTCTGGTTCTTCCTCTTTACCCTGCTCTCTCCTACTTCCAATATATCTAGTTTTTAATTTGCTTCAAATTAATGTCATAATCTAGCTAGCAAAATCCACACATTCACCTGTAGTTCAGTTATTTTATAGTACCTCTTCTCATGTGTTTTAAAATATACCATTACCCATGTCAAGGAAACTGTGGCTCTTGGGTGTGCATCCAGTGAGCTTTGGTATTTTTAGAGGAAATGGTTTCTATGATGCCAAAAAATTAAATCCTTTGATGCGAGGAGTCAGCAAAATGACATATATGTTAAGCAAGGGTTTGTATTGAAATTTCTTTTACTCTCTCTCATATATCTTTCTATATTCACAATTCCATCCATATTCATCTTGTTATAATTGATCATAATGATGTATGATTAAGATCGTCTGCAACAACATACAAAGAAAAAGACAAAAGAGCTAAGAGTGTTGGCCTCTTATGAGGCCGTGGATTCACACTTCCCTATAATTACGATAAAAAATTTTAAAGCGTTCAAGGGTTGCGTTAAGCGCAGTACTGCAAACCGATGGTTGCTTTTGTCAGTCCTCTCTTCTCTTCCTAATGATTCATTGTCCCTCGAAATGATTAGTCCTCGAAAGCAAGAGAGAGAGCGATCGACATGTGGGAAGTTGATGTGCCCATTATATATGGATCACGTGATAGGTAATTAAACCGGTATTATTGTCCTAACTAGCAACTAAATATAAATGGATTTTTTTAACGTTTGTTCCATTATAATTAGCTACAAGACAGCGGACCAAGTTGCTTGCATATTTAAAGCCGTCTGTCTGCGTACTTGTCCTAATTAACTCAGTGACTTCTTCCACGGGGCATCGTCTCTCAATGATTATGCCCATATGCTGATGCAGGTTATGATAATGTCGCTGGGTAATTGCATCATTTTTAATACTGATGTTTTTCAACACATAACCAAATATGTAGTGTTAAAATTCACTCTCCACAATCCATGCGACTCTTTCTTTTTCTGTCGGGTGAGAATAATCGACATGACTATGTTAAACTTGTGCGACCCATAATTGTATGATTACTTTACTCTGAGCACATATGTAGTGTTGTTATTGGACTTCTTGTGTGAGCCAAAAAAAAAAAAAAAAGAATTGGAAATCTTCAGCAATGTAAAGTAGAAAAGGTTGGTTGATGTGAGGTCATTTGATGAAGACATGATAAATTACTAGTAATTCATGGATGGATCTCTTACAAAAGATTCTCTGGTAAGTAGGGGAAGAGGTTTATAAATAATAACATTATGATACGTACATGACAAATGAGAGTATCGAAAAAATGAGATACCATGACGAATACAAACAAATACCAATCAACTACCAATCTACCTCTACTAGTTTTGTTTTGGCAAGGAAAAACGAATAATAAGTTTTATTTTAAAGGGTAGTGTCCGTAAGAGTTGTTGTAGTGATGCTGCAACCTTTTTATATGAGTATATGCATAATACGTGGTGGAAGTTTTTGTTAAAGTTTTTCTTGCAAGTATCTGCCTATTAGAAGTTATTCTGTTTGAGGTACTATCAGGTATAAAATGTGAGTACTCTTTCCAAAGGATATTCAAATTTCAATTCATCACATCATGAGAGATGACCCCCTCCAACTAGAGAGGACTCCTAATAGTTTGAATGTGGGCAGTGAGTCATTAGTGTGAGGCCCAGACTTAGGCAGGAACAAACGAAGGGTTGGGCTTCTAAAAATGGTCAGGTGGAGGAATGGGCCTAAGTTATGATTGATCTCAGGGCACGCGCATTGGTTACAAAAAGAATGAGGCCCACTGGGTTCCTGTTAACAGCGAAATCCCGTTTCCGATATTATGAAATGATTTAGCGAAAAAAATGAAGAGAGTTTTATCATTTATGCTCCGGGGAATGTGTTGTTGGTACTTGGACGTGTAAGGGAAATCCTCCATGTTTTTGTTTTTGTTTTGGGGCCCCAAATTAAAACATGAATTTCATACAATAGATCGGAGGAAAGAAATAGATAGAGGGCAAACTCTTGGCTCTGGGAAATTGAGGGAAGTTGTATAAAGAGAAGGCTAAAATATACTCATGAAACTTTCCTACCATTTCAAAGTTTAAATTTAACCTCCTTGATGTTTTAATTTTTGACGTTAAGTCTGCCATATCATATATATGAGGATGAACTGGCATCCTACATGGCATCTGTATGATTTAATAATTTATTATAATTATATATTTACAAAAGGTTAAAAATTTAAGATATCATTTTTTTTTGTTAAAAATTAAAAAACAAAACAACCCCTCATCCTTTGCATCTCCTTGCGGCAGGCTCGACTTTCAGTTTGAAAAAAAGGTGGATTGCTTTTGCTTTTGGAGCTTGCTTTTTCCGAATGGATTTGCTTCGCATGCATTGGGCTTTGATTTGATCTTGGGATGGGTCGAAAGGAAGGATAGACCTGGTTACTCTTCTACCCATCCATCATCTTCAAACTACTCATTGTTGCAAATATATTGTGCGGCATCTTTCTTCTGATGTGTCAGTTTTTATGAGAGCTTTAAGGGAAAAATTAACGACAAGAACGGTTAATGTCAAAAATTAAATGGTCAAGGAGGTTAAATTTAAACTTTACAATGTTAGGAGAGTTATATGCAATTGATCCAAAATTTACGAGAGTTTTATATATTTGAGCCTGAAAAGAAAGAAAAAGAAATCAAATAATTAGAAACCCTATGGAAAAATTGGTAAAAAATTCCTGTTTGAAAATTTAATTGGCTACAAGAACCTAAATTTGAGCACATGTAAGTATAATCCATGAGTGCAACATATTTTCTGCTGTGTGCAACATATCTTCCGTTGTGTGCAAATGACTTTCGTATTAATAATTGTTGCGCATCATTGATGATATGTTGCACGCAGTAAAAGATATGTTGTACACACTGATCATGGTTGCACTTGCTCAAATTCAGATCTTTTTAATCAATTAAATTTTCAACCAAGGATTTTTACCAATTTTCCCAAACCCTATCCTCATTCCTTTTAAACTACAGCGCAAAGTCCAAACAGGTACTGTGACTGTTCTAACTACACTACAATTTTTTTTTATTTCATTCTTCTTCTCTTTTCATTTTCACAGTCCATTCTCCTGTACACCAAATTAAATCATTATTTGGACGTAAACTGAATGACCTTTCCAGTACTGGCCATTTGCGTTTGCACCAACGTTGATTGCCTGTCGCTAAAGGGGCCCAACTCTTAAATACTCCTCCGGTCCTAATTATAAGACCCAATTGACTTATTTGAGGAGATTAAGAAAGTAAGTTAAGTTGGTTATTTATAATAAATAAGTGTTGTTATTCCTAAAATATCCTTGCTAATTAAGTATATTGGCTAAAACTATCATTATTAGAAGAATTATCTTAGGAAAAAATGCATAAATATAAGAGAGAAAATAGATTGGGTCTTATAATTAGGACCAAATAAAAAGTCAAATTGAGTCTTATAATAAAGACCGGAGGAGTAATTATTAGTAATCACTGAACGTGGACGCAATGTTAAGATTAACCTTCCTTTCCGGGCTAGTATATATATTTACGTGCTTTTCACGAGTTCTCCAAGTTTGGGAAAAGAATTGGGGCCCACAAAATTCTGGTGATATGGGAAATTAATACTGTACACTTTTGAAATCGTCAGTACTTTGGAATCTTGCAGGACTGCTCTTGTCGCCCCATAATCAATCAATCACTGCAAGCAATTAAGAATTACGACTCATCTTCTCAATCAAAGCTTGTTCAGCGTATTATGCTGCTAAGTTATTTAACTCCTCTTCTTGAAGACTTGAATTAAATCTGTTTTAAATTTTGAACCGAACTAAGATATGTTTATTGCTTGCTTCAAATCATGTTATTTACTATTACCGTCTTAAATTTAAGAATTATTTAGTTCAGCAAACTCGTGCTCTTATGTTAATTACAGCACCAAACCTTAATCAAGCTTTTGAAAGAAAAATCAGTGCAGCGAATCTCGTTGTTCACAAAGCGACAAAACGAGGTTTGTTGAAGATATGATAAATAATAAAAGGCTGAAAATGCATGGCACCAACCTTCGTGGAAATCAAGCATTGTGGTTCCAGCGTTTCTGATTACCTTAAATCTTATGGGTACGAACGCAGAATGCTCAGAAGTCATCAAAATGACGCGGGCTAATGACGTCTTCGATTTGACAGCGGCGGGGATTGTCATGTTCCAAAATATTCCAATTACTTAGCACGCAAGTTTTACGTTCATATGGTATACGGAGGACTATGCGAATGTGTAATTAAAAAAAATGTGATGAATGCATGCAAAATTAAGAATAAAAGTATACCTAGGAGCGAAAATAGTTGAGAATTTGTCAAGAACTTGTGACGTGCCTTTGGCCTACTTAAATATAAAAACAGGGCTAGGTTTTTTTAAAGCTTGATTAGTCTAACAAGCTAGACCTAGACTCTACCTAGAGACTTCAACTTGTTATAAATTTATAATTCTAATAATATGAAAAAAATAGTTATTATTTTTTTTTAAGGTGCTTATGTAATTTAATTTTTTTATACATGGTTAATACTTCCTTAGATTTTAAAATTTAGTTCGCAGGTAAAGATAAAAATATAATTTAAAACAGTAATGTCAGTAAGGATAAAATAGCAAACAAAAATTCTATTCTAAAAGGAATAGTTAAAAGGAAGGGTAAGAAGTGCTAAATTAATTAACTTATGTGTTTTGTTAATCACATATGATACCCGTTTATTCATTGTAAAATTAATAATTTTTCTTCATATTTATTTGTCTTAATTTTAATTTTCCTTTCGTACCTAGATATAGTCTTGTTCCAAATTTTAACGTGCAATTATAACTAGTTTTTAATAATATCTTTATTAATTATAATTAAGATTTAAAATAGTACTTAATAACCTTAAAATTTAAATAAAAGACAAGATTTAAAAGTAGTTATTATGTAGTATGTATGTTTTACCTTTTTATTGGTTTATGTACTTTTTACTATGTAGTATATTGTTTGAAGTTATTCAAAATAAAAACAGAGGCTTCAGGCTACGCTTTTATAAAAGTCAAATTTAAGTTTAAAAAAAGCCTATATGACAGGCCACAAGTCAAGTTTATACCAACTTGGTCTGGTTTGACCAGGCCTGCTTTCATTCCTGTAGAGGCAGCTATTAGGTAATAAAATGTGGGATTTATTATACTTTTGTGCCACGTCAAACCCACGTTCTCTACTTTTCTCAATTTTAGATCCAACTTTGTTGCATGCAGGACACAAATGCTTCTAATCACATAAAAACAATATATATAATGTATATTAGATTCCTGTAATATTACTCAATAACAGTTATTTTTATATAAATTTTTCACTCGACGAAATGCAAGACATTTATTCGCTTCTGACCATTTTGGTGCCTACTGCGTCACATGGTGTAAGCTATTCTCTATATATTTTGAAAAATTAAAGGCACAATCCTCTTTTGTATCCACAGCCAAAAAAAATAAAATCATGCGCTGATATACACACACGGTGATATGCTTCATGGAATTTATAATGAATAATCCTATTGTCATCCATTTTGTGCAATGAATAAGATAATCACAGCGTTACAGTTAAGTCCTTTAATTATGATTTTTGTAAAATTAGGTCATTGATTGTAACATGAAGAAAATGACAAATTGAGAATTGTTGAAGAGAATAAAATAACGCTTAAATTTATTAACTTTAATACGTAAGCATCCAAACCATTTGCTTTCCTGTATATAAAGAAGCCAACGGCATGTATAAATAGATGCCACGAAACTAACATAATCACACAAGTGAGGGAGATTAAAGAAATTGAAGAGAAACACAGAGAATGGAGGTAGGTCAAGTGCTGCGCATGAATGGAGGGATCGGCGACACTAGCTACGCAAGCAATTCCTTAGTTCAGGTATCATCATTTTACGTAAACTTTATTAGCTGATTGACACAGACTAATCTAACTCTTTTTCGTCATGCTTGGGAAACAGCAAAAGGTGTTGACACTGACGAAGCCGATCCGAGAGGAAGCCATAACCAACTTGCACAGCAGAATGCTCCCGCCAAGCCTAGCGATTGCAGATTTGGGTTGCTCTTCTGGTCCCAACACTTTCTTTGTGGTTTCTGAAGTTATCAGAACAGTGGAGAAGCTTTGCCGACACCTAAACCAGCAGTCTCCGGAATACCAAGTCTTCTTGAACGATCTCCCGGGGAATGACTTCAACAACATCTTCCGGTCTCTTGGCAGCTTCAAGGACAAACTCAGTCGTGAAATGGTTTCTGGGGTTGGTCCTTGCTTCTTATCGGGAATCCCTGGATCCTTCTACGGCAGGCTTTTTCCTTCGAAAAGTCTCCATTTTGTCCATTCCTCTTACAGCCTTATGTGGCTATCTCAGGTACAAATATTCACCAGTTTAAACTGAGATTGTTAAGATCCATCTTCTTTACTGTCTCCTCTTATAAATAGTAAACAGTATTATATAGAACTAAATGTTTGGTGCGATTAATGCGTTAGGTTCCCGAGGGAGTGGAGAACAATAAGGGCAACATCTATATGGCAAGCACAAGCCCCTCGAATGTGTTGAAGGCTTATTACCAGCAATTTCAGAGAGACTTCTCGTTGTTTCTTCAGTGTCGTGCGAAGGAAGTGGTGGAAGGGGGTTGTATGGTGCTCACATTCTTAGGCAGAAGAAGTGACGATCCCTCTAGCAACGAATGCTGTCTAATCTGGGAGCTTATGGCCACAGCTCTCAAGGACTTGGCCTCCAAGGTCCACTCATCTTTCTAGATAAACCTCACTTTGGTAGCTTGTTATAGAAAATTAATGGCCAAATATCATTGAATTTATGGTCCTGTCGAAATAAACCAATTTGTTCATTACTGTGTTGCAGGGAATGATAAAAGAAGAGGAAGTGGATTCATTCAACATTCCTCAGTACACACCATGTCTTTCAGAAGTTGAAGAGGAGGTAGTTAAGGAAGGGTCATTCATCATCAACCATACGGAGGTATCAGCTGTGGATTGGAATGCTTACAGTGACTGGAACACAATGGACAACGAGTTTAGTGAGGCAGAAATCGTCAGTGATGGTGCATATAATGTCACAAAGTGTATGAGGGCTGTGGCCGAACCCTTACTAATTAGCCACTTCGGAGAGGACATTATTGAACAAATTTTTAGGAGTTATCAAGAAGTCCTAACAGACCACATGTCCAAACACAAAACTGAATTCATCAATGTCACCGTATCCATGACCAGAAGAGCTTGATATCTCACTGAGATGGAGGACCATGTTATTTGCATATTTGTGCTCCGTCAAATAAATTCATCTTTGGTTCAGTTCTCCTTAAGTTTGCTTGTTGTAATTTCCAGAAAAATTTGGATTTGAAGCTTGCTTGTAACTTGTGAAGTTTATCTTCCATATGAAATAAAATGGTGTTGCAGGTTTTACATGTGATCAGTTCTCCGAGCTCCCAGTCTCAATGCCTATTCCGTGGTCCCCCATATGCCCCTCTGGCGCCATTTTTTATGAACAAATTAAAGAAGCTAAGCCCCCACAAGTAAGTAATTAAAAGTGAATTTAACGTTAATAATACTACCTCCGGTCCTAATTATAAGAGCCAGTTGACTAATTTGAAGATATTAAAGAAGTAAGTTGAGTTAGTTATTTGTCCTAAATAGGTGTTGTCTTTCCTAAAATATCCTTACTAATCCAATGTATTGACTAGAACTATTGTTGTTAAAAGAGCTATTTTGGAAAAAAAATGTATAGATACGAGAGACAAAGTGGATTGGGGTATTATATTTAAGACCAAAATAAAAATCAAACAGGGTCTTATATTAAGGATCGAATGTAGTACTTTATTTTGAATTTTAGCCACCAAATGATCCAAATAATGGTATATATTCACCTTGGATGTGGACATGTTTCCATATAAGTTCTACCATTAATTGATTTATTTACAAACTACAACATCAATATCTATTTAAGAATTACTCATGAATTAATTTGGGCATATTAAGAAAGTTATTGTGATTTGATTTCCTTAAAATATTCCTATAAATTTTAGATTAGATTATATATCATCTCTGTTTGCAATAGTGATCAAACTCGGCTCCTTATAACCACCCTTCTCCTTCTGAAAACATCAACTTCCCTTCCAATGACGCGAAGGAAAGAAATCCTATTCCAACTTAATCCCTGTCAGGTATCAAGAAGAATTGATTCATAATTTAATTAGTCTGGGTTAAGAATCAGACTTCCTCATCAGAATAACTTATATCTCCTGTACATATCTTTGCGGAATGTCTTAACATAATGAATTAGGTATGGATATCCTCTCACAGAATTTGCTGAGGGGCTTAGTTTAAGTAACGGGCTAAAAAAATAAATCGCTTAGTCAGAACAAGTTCTAAACTTTCATCGAGTCAAATGTTACTGTAGAAGACTTCTTAAACTTGATCAATTTATTTTCTAGTTTACGTCCATATGTTTCAGATAAAAATTATTTCTCTCTAAACTCTAATGCCTCTGTTTTACAAATTTATTAGGGGTCTTTTATCGTATCTGTTTACTTTGTTTTATTTATATATTATTTTTTATTCAACTTTGTCACTCTCATCTCTACCTACCTAATTTCAATATCTTTTCAGGGAAAATTACAATATAAGTAATAAAAGAATAAAATAATTACTAATTAGTCTCAGTAATAAATAAACAGTTGTTATTTATTATTATAAAATTTGTTATTATATGTTGCTTTATTATTATTAGGACTTTTTAGTAGTTATATTTCTTACTTGAGACGTTATAGCAATTTTCTCATATTTTTGTCAAATACGACAGCAATGCAAATCAAGCCTCGGGTGAAAGGTACTGGATTCACAAACAAGCACTTGGCTTCGAGGCCTGGCTTTGACACTGTTCATCCTTCACGGGATCCAATCAGTAAAATGTGCATTCCGTGGGCGTTCATCTTATGGTGTCCCACGAGTTGAAAGAGAACCCGCTGACATGTGCTCCGCCGCGTTGGGCGAGTGCGGCGGGGCCCAATCGTATTTGGACCACTCACCACACAACAGACATGGGCATATATGTCCCAGGCCCCTCCTCCTCCCATGGCAACTTGTGAGTACGGCACTGCCAGTTTTACTTTTTCCCAGTACCTATTCATAAAGTCCGCAAATGCTGACCTCTGAAGTACTCAGTAGCCACACAAAGATTCAACATGCGGTGCTGCAATTATCTGCTTTTCTGTGTGTTTTTAAATATCATCTCGATGTCGTGTTCTGTCGATAAGTTGGGGCTGGAATTGCACTTCCTGTCAACATCTATTACCAGTACTCTGTTAAGGTTCCACATTAATCTTTGTCACAATTTTACAATTTTAGTGCTCCACGGCCCCTTTCAATGTCTCAAAGGGTGCAAACGTCATGCGGCATTTGGATTGATATACACGATGCCTCTTGGTGACATTATTTTTTGGAAGCAAGCATAGGAGTTCCTTTGTATGATACAACTACAACATAATATGTGTGTGGTGCTGGGAGTCCATGTGTGGAAGAGAAATCGTTGGTGTAGCAAGGGACTTAAGTTTTGGGCTATCTCAAATCTGCTGGTGAGAATTGGAGACTACAATCAAAGTCGAGCCTACTTTAATTAATTTTTGTGATGTTGCTTGTCTCTTTTCTATTCTCATTATTTTAGTTTTTTTAGTTGTCTTTGTTATTGGTTTGTTATGTTTTCTTATCTCACTCATGTTAAGCCGGCCTCCTCCTTTAGTTCATTTAGGCTTTACTCAAATTGACCGAATGCAATTGGTCGGCTTTTTATGTAATCATTTTTCTTGGGTTTGAATAAATTTGATATTTTATTTTTAAAAAAACTATTCATACTAACTCAATTTAAAAAAAAAAACTAAGGTGCATCAAATATTTATTTGTATTTTGCAGTGCATTTAACACTCTAAAGTATTTTTTTAGGGGTCTCCAACACCATGAAATATTTTTTGGTACATCCAGTACTTCAAAATATTTTTTTAGATGCGTCTAGCACTTAAAAATATTTTTTTTGTGCATGAGGCAAAAAAAAAACTTCAGGATGCTAAATACACAACAAAATATTTTGAAGTGCTGAATGCACCTTAACCTTTTAAAAAATACTATTACTTCTAATCCTAAATACTATCTCTAGTCCTAAATATAAGAGCTAGTTGACTAATTTGAGTAGATTAAAAAAATAAGTTAAATTAGTTATTTGTAATAAATATGTATTTTTTCCCTAAAATATCCTTACTAATTAAGTTTATTAGTTAGAACTATCATTATTAGAAGGATTATCTTAAAAAAAAATAAATAAACAAGAGAAAGTAAATTGGAATATTATATTTAGGACTAAACTAAAATCAAATGAGGTCTTATATTAAAGACCGGAGATAGCATAAGAGTTAGTTTGTAGTGTAAATTACACTACAAAATAACTCTTATATTTAGCACTAGAGGTAGTACTAATTAACTTTTTTACCTTGTAGTTGTACTTCTCCATAATATTTTCATAATATAATGTCCATATTAATCTTGATAAATTATTAAGAAAGGTCATGTTCTTTTTTAACATTTTAGGTATTCATCTCCCTCATAATTATATCCAATAAATTTTGGTGATATAACGCCCAATCTCATGTATAAGATGAGAGCAGATGCTGAGCAGTGACTTTAGAAGTTGGTTGTCCAAATCAAACATAATTTACTAAACTTAATTATGTTTTTCCAAGATTTTTCATTGTAAAGGATGCAGCAGATATAAAAATAACTTTTTTTATTGTATCACAGGAGTTTGAACCTTATCAGTTTGCCAACACCTGCCGGTGGCATCATCATCACCTTTAACTAATAGGATCTCATGTACATGGTATTAATTAATTCGTGTGCCGGCCAAAATTAATTAATTTAAGAAAATTAAGAAAGCCATATAGATAGAAATAGAAATAAATAGAGTAAAAACGGCATCTCTTATATCAATGACATCAAAGAAAGAAATATTAAATTAACGGAATTAGTATATGGATGGATTATAATAAAATAGAGCTACTTTGAGGTTCCGTATGAAATGAGGCATGAAACAGAGCCACTACAAAGAAGTCCCGTAAGTTATGAAGGAAACTTTGAACTCATATTAGTCATGGGAAAGCCATATAAATTACTTTAATATGTTTACATTTATCATTTTTCTCCTAATTAATTTATCTGACTTATAAATTGATATATAATATAATAATATACATAATTATTTCAGAAGGATTATGTAATATATATTATAATTAAATAATTTATTTAACTTTTTTAGGTCTTATATTAAAAATTAGAGATTGTATATAGTGCCATCCCCGGTTACACTCTTAATAGAACCTTGTAATTCAATTTTTTTCATTAAGTTGGATCTTATATTAAGGAGAAAAGGAGGGAAGGTAGTGGTTGATGGTCCGGAGACCGACATTAAAAATAAGAAAGGAAAAGAAATTTGTATGCTCCAAATTTAACCTTCACAAGCCAAATTTAAAGGACGCGCCAAATACACAAGTCTCAATTGCGTGGACAATCTTTTACTTTTTTTCTCTCTCTTTTTTTTATCAGTTACGTGATTTCACACTATAAATAAACAAATGGGTAAACAATACCTTTACTATCTAAAATTTAAATTAATGATTTTGATGTCTGAAATTTAATCTCGATTATGGTTTGTAAAATTTGAAACCAGTACTTTTGATATTTAAACTTTGGCTTCATTTTGGTTCGCCCATAAAATTTTTTTATCACTGGAACAGTATTTTTGAACCCTGAAAAAAAAAAAAAACTAGAACAAGGTCAAATTTCAAAAAGCCAAAATCACTAGTTTCAATTTTAGGTATCAAAAATTAAAAAAGGTTAAATTTTATGAATCCAAATCACTAGTTTCAAATTTCTGAGACCAAAACCAAAATAAAATCAATTTTTAAGGACTAAAAAATAGTACTAATCATAAATAAATAGACAATCATTAATCACTTTAATTAATTTTATATTTGCATGATTTTATAGTCGTATGCCCCGTAACTGTATTAATCTAGATCTCGACGGTATATAAAACTAATTATAAATGATGAGTCATTCTACTGGAAATTAAATGTGTGTGTATATATTTTGTGAAACTCAAAAGTATTATTTGAAACTGATCATTATCGAATTGGAAATATTATAGTTAAAGTTCTCTCAATAAGTGCTTTTTCTGAATTTAAACTTTTGTGT